GTACTATTACTTTCTTATTTATCGCGTAGTTACATGTGGTCCACATTAGCTAAGACACTTGATGACACGTAGGGTGATGACACTTCACTTACGAATTTTTTTCTCAGAAACTACTCAACCGATTTATCCAAACTCTTTTTTGTTTTATTCATAAAGAATGGGGCTATTTTAAAATATTTTTTTTAATTCCGTCAATTTGTTATGAAATTTCGAAAAATTTAAACGAATTCTTTTTTCGCGTTTTTTTCAATGCGGAGCTTTGTAAAATTTGTCGACGCTTTATAATAAATTTGACGGAATTAAAAAAAATATTTTAAAATAGCCCAATCCTTTGTGAATGAAACAAAAAAGGATTTGGATGAATCGGTTGGGTAGTTTCTGAGAAAAAAATTCATAAGTGAAGCGTCGTCAGGGTATACGTCATATCAGGTGGTCCATGAAAGTCTGATAGCCTTTGACAATATAATAGTGCTAGAAACTGATCATAACCTTGTTACAAATCTTTTTAGTTAGAAGTTAAACATACCTCCATGTCTATATATCCAACAAAATGGCTACCTACATGCGGCTCTTAAATATTACACAGAAATCAATACACGTTCTAACGATGCACAAATTGGAGTATCATCGCAACAATAGGAAAATCAGAGAAAACGAAATTCGCTGGCAGGCTGTATCGGAAGGAAACAAATAACGCTAAGAAAATCAATATCGAAGGGATCTGGGTTGGTCGGTAAGCCCACTCGCAGCGATATCTTTTCATTTTCCGACGCTTTAGGCAGCCTGCCAATAATTGACCCTCGCGAGGTGGAGGAGTCCCGCGTTTCGAGCAGAGGATTCCTAGCTTCGAAATCCCTGGAGCACATTTCCCTCCCTCGTTCCTTTCTCTCCTCCCCTTGTATCGAGCCTCACGAATGGAATTTCCGTGCCACGAATCGCGCGAGAAATCTATTTTCGCGACGGAGTGACGTATTCGCGGCTCAACGTGATAGTAATCTATCATGTGACGTATACGGATCTTCAGATCTACGAGAAATATCTGGCTCTTTACGGAGATCATTTAACGACATTTTACATTTTTTGGGAGGAAGATTTTTTAGAAATTTCAATTCTTGAAGACACACATCATACATGATTTTGTGACACATGATTTCATGTGACACACGTGTGATACAGTTCTGTATATTGTACGTTACTTATGAGGAACAGTATGTTACATATTAGGAACATTTTTATTTCAGAAACTCTGTAAAAGTATACGTTTAATATTTGAAGAAATATCAATTAAAAAAAAAAATAATTCTGCTTCCTAAATTTACAATACTGTACCCATAAAAAGAGTACAAAATAAAAAATTGTTTAACTCAAAAAATTTGTCAAATAAATATTGTACTCCTCCACATCTAAATAACTAAATATTCATCAAAAGGCATTTTCTAATAATTCAAAGGGTAAAATTTATCCGTAAAGCCCGAGTTCGAAAATTCCGAGACGGCCGTAAAAAAAGGGAAACACGTCGAACAAATTCTCCCTTTTAAGCGACTCCGTCACACCTTTCATCCCCCAAAGAAGCTTTTCGTTTGCCCTTCGATGAAAAATACGACTGGTACTATGTCGGACGAGATCGAGGGTATTCAATGTACACGGAAATGAGCGTGCACTTTCGCGGGTTTCAGCTTCAAAGGAGCCTCTCTCGTCTTTTCTTCCGGCCAGAAGTTTCGGTTCCAAAGACACCAGCATTTTTCACCTTCTACGGAAAAAAGGAGCTTCCGGGCGAGCTTCTGTCGACCTGTGTCGAGAGATTAATCATACGGAGTTGAGTAATTAATAGTGTGATCAACTTTTGGTAATTTTGGGCTGGTTCTCAGGAAAATTTCTGGGTTTTTAATTTTACAGGTCTGAGTACTTGTATGTGAAAGTTTGCAAGGAACACAGTAGGGAAAGTAATAGAAGTTTTTAAATTTAAGGAAAACTAGTGACTATTAAAGCAATTTTATCTGAAAACAGTATACCTCCTCTATGTTACAAAACACAGTAATCATTATTGGAGCAACGAATAACTTATAGCGTTTAATGCGACAGAACCTTTCGTCACCGTGTCACAAAATCACGGGCGAGCGCAACAAATTGCTCGCGTTGAATATTGCGATCTTATCAAAACAGCCAGAAGAAACTGTACATTCCTGGAATCAATTGTAACTAGTGATGAGACCTGGCGTTTCAAGTATGAACCTCGAAGCGCCAAAGTGCTACGTGGAAATCTCCAGACTCTCCAAAATAAAAAAAATTGCGATTCCAGAAGTCCCGAGAGACGATGTTAATTTGCTTTTACGATTCTAAAGGAATTATACTTCGGGAATTCGTTCCGCAGGGACAAAATGTTAATGGCGAATATTATCTGGGTGTTATGGAACATTTGTGGAAGAGGATCGTTCGTGTGAGGCCCGAATATCAAGCGCTGGGAAGTTGATTTCTGTCGCGTTATTAATTCCACGCGTTGTAATTCCACGCATCGTAATTCCACGTGTTGTAATTCCACGCGTCGTAACTCCATGCGTCGCAATTCCACGCGTTATTAATTCGACGTGTAGTAATTCCATGCGTCGTAATTCCATGCGTCGTAATTCCACGCGTCGCAATTCCACACGTTATTAATTCCACGCGTTGTAATTCCACGTGTTGTAATTCCACGCGTAGTAACTCCATACGTCGCAATTCCACGCGTTATTAATTCCACGTGTAGTAATTCCATGCGTCGTAATTCCACGCGTCGCAATTCCACGCGTTATTAATTCCACGCGTCATAATTCCATGCGTTATAATTCCATGCGTCGTAATTCCACGCGTCGCAATTCCACGCGTTATTAATTCCACGCGTCATAATTCCATGCGTTATAATTCCACGCGTCGTAACTCCATGCGTCGCAATTCCACGCGTTATTAATTCCACGCGTCATAATTCCATGCGTTATAATTCCATGCGTCGTAATTCCACGCGTCGCAATTCCACGCGTTATTAATTCCACGCGTTGTAATTACACGCATCATAATTCTACGCATCATAATTTTACATCTTGAAAATCTTGCGCTAAAGTCAGTCACAGCTATATTATAGCGTATGGAGAAATTGTGCACCCTTAGCTACAACAGTATTTTTGAGACAATGATTCAACGTCAACGAGAATGTCACGTTTTACCCCAGTGGCCCGAAGCGATTTTTCGCGAGTTGCACCCCTTAGTGGCCACCCTGATGATATACAAACACATTCGTCTACCCCTCGTGGGACACGTCTTATTTTAGACGAACAAGGGTAGAACATAAGAGGGTACGAACTGTAAAACGAGACTTGATTTGTTCTTCCAAAAAACCGACCCCCGTTTGCTAAGATAAACTGGTCTTGTAATGAAATATAAACTGTTCATATAATAAAACATGAACTGGTCTTATGATAAAACTCTTCGTTTAATAATAATTATTCATGTAATAAAACAGCAATTATTCATTTAACAATAATTGTTCATGTAATAAAACAGCAATTATTCATTTAACAATAATTGTTCATGTAATGAAACAGCAATTATTCATTTAACAATAATTGTTCATGTAATGAAACAGCAATTATTCATTTAACAATAATTGTTCATGTAATGAAACAGCAATTATTCATTTAACAATAATTGTTCATGTAATAAAACAGCAATTATTCATTCAATAATAATTGATCTTACAATAAAACAGCAGTTATTCATTTAACAATAATTGTTCATGTAATAAAACAGCAATTATTCATTCAATAATAATTGATCTTACAATAAAACAGCAGTTATTCATTTAACAATAATTGTTCATGTAATAAAACAGCAATTATTCATTCAATAATAATTGATCTTACAATAAAACAGCAGTTATTCATTTAACAATAATTGTTCATGTAATAAAACAGCAATTATTCATTCAATAATAATTGATCTTACAATAAAACAGCAGTTATTCATTTAACAATAATTGTTCATGTAATAAGACAGCAATTATTCATTCAATAATAATTGATCTTACAATAAAACAGCAGTTATTCATTTAACAATAATTGTTCATGTAATAAGACAGCAATTATTCATTCAATAATAATTGATCTTACAATAAAGCAGTTATTCATATAATAATAATTCTTCATATAATAAAACATAAATCGGTCATATAATAAAACATGAAATAAATTAGAAATGCATAATTATAAATAAACTAAATTAATTATAAGCTACACAATATCTTCAAATGGAGATTAAAATTAAGAGTTCCTGTATACATGTCTTTTGAAATTATTATTATTCTACTATTAATTATTCTGTCCTCGTCTCTTTCACTATACATGTCCCACACTATATTTACCTAAAAAATATTTTAATATCTCAAATTGTTCTATCGAATCACTTCTCCACTACAAACTTTGTCGCCCCAAAAAAAAACTACGCAAAGCACATAATTCTCTTTCCCGTCCCAAAAATCCCTAGAATCCCCTCCAAAATTACGCAAAATATTTCTCTTTCCAACAATCTCCCCCCACATTCCAAATTCAAAAAACATTCCAACAATCTCCCCCTCAAAAAGAAAATTACAACAAAGAGAATTTGCACAGCACAAAAACACCAAACCTCAACGCTTCCAGCGATGTTACACAAAGTAGAAACATCTGAATACAACGGTGGCATACCTAAAGCAAATATCTTGAACAGCGCCAATTACAAGGACTCGGTCAAGCCGCGAATCTCTGGTGCTCAAAGAGGACGTTTAAAGGCGTTTCAGCGTCGTCGAGGAGGGAGATCGTCGCCGGAGTCGCTTAATCGCGCAAACGAACGGAATATATATCGCGAGACGTTAATTAAGAAGGATGTCTGGGGGTATTAGCCAGGTTGGGGGTGGTAAAGCAGAAACGGGGCCACGCGGCGCTGAAACTGGTCGACGGGGGATGAAACGCGAGCTACATTGCTTTATGGCTTACCATCGTCAGGGACGCGCCTGTCCCTCGAGCGTACTGGAATTCCGGGACACTCACCTGTAAAAAAAAAATTCTTATTTTATCTCCTCAAAGTTCATTCTTTATTGCTTACTTAATTAATTATAGCAATGGTTGCATTCGGTCATTTTTAAAGTCTTCATTTTTTTATGTACCTTAAAGTGAGATAAAGTAATTCAATGCGTCACCAGTTTACATTAGAAATGATTTATTTATTAAATGAAACCTTGACGGAATTTTAAAAATATTGTCTTGACTGAATTTTAAAAATATTATCTTGACTGAATTTTAAAAATATTGTCTTAACTGCATTTTAAAAACATTTTATTATTAATAAATTGAGTAGGAACAAAGATTGTTACTATGTGAAATGCATATACGAAGTGAATTTTAAAAATATTTTATTATTAATAAATTGACTAAAAACAAAGACTGCTACTATGTGAAATGCATGTACGAAGTGAATTTTAAAAATATTTTATTATTAATAAATTGACTAAAAACAAAGACTGTTACTATGTGAAATGCATACACAAACTGAATTTTAAAAATATTTTGTTATTAATAAATTCAGTAGGAACAAAGACTGTTACTATGTGAAATGCATACATGAAGTGAATTTTAAAAATGTTTTGTTATTAATAAATTCAGTAGGAACAAATACTGTTACTATGTGAAATACATACACAAACTGAATTTTAAAAATATTTTGTTATTAATAAATTGACCAAAAACGAAAACATTACATGAGCAGCTATTGTTTTTACAATAACTCTATTTAAACAAATTTCCAATGTTCCTCAACTGAGAACTTTTGTTAATATATGAGTTTGAAATAAACAGTCCACATTTTATAAATTCTCCTAAATTCAATAAACGAGGTAACTTCCTCCAAAAGTTCAACTTTCAGTGTTCCATAAATTCAATAAACCCCAAAACTTTTGTTTCATAAATTAAATAATTTTGATAACCATCGTTGCATAAATTAAATTTGAAAATTCCATAAATTTGAAAACCGTTGTTCCATAAATAAATTTTCAAACACTTCCATAAATAAAACAAATTAGAAAACTGTCGTTGCAAAAATAAATTCGAGAACACGTCCATAAATAAAATAAATTAGAAAACTGTTCTTGCATAAATAAACTAATTGTTCCTTAAATTAAATAAATTTGAAACCAGTTTTAATCAAACCTTTGTCTCCTAAATAAATTTCAAAACATAAATTCAAAAACTTTCCATAAATTCGATAAAACTTGACAATCGTGAAGTGCCTACTGTACTTCGTTCAATACACAAGCTTTTACAAAATTGATCAACCAATGTTTTGCATTCGCTAGCAGAACCCGCACGGATTAATTTCCGGTGTTTGACAATGCGTCGACCGTTACTACTTACAAACGTACAACGAAAAGAAAGCAGCCAAACAAGCGCGTATAAACATTCATTGAAGGTAGGAGAAAACACAGAAAAATAGTATTCGCGACTATAAACCTAGAACAAACTGTGGCTTAACGGTCCGATAATGGAATGGAAGGGGTTGAAAGAATGAGAGAAAAAAAAGAAACCAATGAAGAATCCCAGCGAACACGAACGCGTACGTAAATGGTTGAAAACGGGTCGATGAGGCTTCATCAGGCTGGTCACGCAAGTTGAATCGCTACCCCTTTTCTACCCCTTCCTAACTAGTTATCGAGCTACCCCTACTTGATAAGATCGTGTCCTTCGATGCTGTTTACGAAGAATGTGCATGTAAATGGATATCGAAATCGGGGCTTGTTGTGTGTGATACGCTGTGTACTTGGGGTGTGCAGGATGCAATGGTTGGAAGTTTTGGCAAATTGGAAATTTTTATATTCTGAAATTTAGAAATTTGGTTGTTTGATAAGTTTGTGATGTGGAAGTTGAGAGAGAATGTATTTTTACGAGACGGGGTTGGAAGCTTTGAAAAATACTTTTTTTAATGGAGGGTTGAATGTTTGGAAAGTTGTGAGTCTGGGAAATTGGCAAGGAGGAAGTAAGACTTGAGGAAGAGACTTGAGCAATGTAGAAATTGAGATCTGGAACTTGAGAAGACTGAGACATTATGAGAAGACTGAGAAGTAATCTGAGATTTAAGAAGTATCAGACTTGAGAAATTTGATACTTCAGAAATTTGAGACATGAATAAATCTGAAAATTGAGAATTATGAGACTTGTGAAATTTGGTACTTGAGAAGTCTGAAACATGAAGAAATCTGAGACATCAGAAGTATCAGACTTAAGAAATTTAATACTTCAGAAATTTGATACTTCAGAAATTTGAGACATGAAGAAATTTGAAACTTGAGAATTATGAGACTTGTGAAATTTGGTACTTGAGAAGTCTAAAACATGAAGAAATCTGAGACATCAGAAGTATCAGACTTAAGAAATTTGATACTTCAGAAATTTGAGACATGAATAAATCTGAAACTTGAGAATTATGAGACTTGTGAAATCTGATACTTGAGAAGTCTGAAACTTGTGAAATCTGATACTTGAGAAGTCTGAGACTTATGAAATCTGATACTTGAGAAGTCCGAGATATTAAGAAATTTGAAACTTGAGCAGTATCAGAGCTGAGAAATATAAGACTTGAGAAATCTGATACTTGTGAAATATGAGACATGAAGAAATATGAGACATCAGTAATCTGATACTCGAGAAATCTGAGACGTGAAGAAATTTGAAACTTGAGAATTATGAAACTTGTGAAATCTGATACTTGAGAAGTCTGAGATATGAAGAAATTTGAAACTTGAGAATTATGAGACTTGTGAAATCTGATACTTGAGAAGTCTAAAACTTATGAAATCTGATACTTGAGAAGTCTGAGATATGAAGAAATCTGAGACTTGGGAAGTATCAGATCTGATAAATATGAGACTTGACAAATCTGAGACATGAAAAAATTTGAAACTTGAGAATTATGAGACCCGTGAAATCTGATCCTTGAGAAATTTGAGACATGAGGAAATCTGAGACTTGAGAAATATGAAACTTGAGAAATCTGATACTAAAGAAATTTGAAACTTGGGAAATCTGAAACTTGAGAGATCTGGAAATTGATAAATCTGATACTTGAGAAATTTGAAACTTGAGTAACCTGAAATTTGAGGGATCTGGGAACTGAGAAACCTGGAACTTGAGAAATCTGGAAATTACGAGAGCTGAAACTTGAGAAATTTGATACTTGAGAGACCTGAAATTAGAGAGATCTGAAATTTGAGAGATCTGAAACTTGAGAGACCTGAAATTTGAGAAATCTGGAAATTGAGAGACCTGAAACTTGAGAGATCTGAAACTTGAGAGACCTGAAATTTGAGAAATCTGAAACTTGAGAGATCTGAAATTTAAGAATTCTGGAAATTGAGAGACCTGAAACTTGAGAGATCTGAAATTTGAGAGATCTGAAACTTGAGAGACCTGAAATTTGAGAAATCTGGAAATTGAGAGACCTGAAACTTAAGAATTCTGGAAATTGAGAGACCTGAAACTTGAGAGATCTGAAATTTGAGAGATCTGAAACTTGAGAGACCTGAAATTTGAGAGATCTGAAATTTGAGGGACCTGAAATTTGAGAAATCTGAAACTTGAGAGACCTAAAACTTGAAATATCTGAAACTTGAGAAACCTAAAATTTGAGAGACCTGAAATTTGAGAGATCTGGAAATTTGAGAAATCTGAAACTTGAGAGACCTAAAACTTGAAAGATCTGAAACTTGAGAAACCTAAAATTTGAGAGATCCAGAAATTTGAGTAACCTAAAATTTGGGAGATCTGATACTTGACAGACCTGAAACTTGACAATCCCCATCCTTAAAAAGTCCACAAACTCCAAAATTTCAATCTCGACAAACTCAAAAATAAAAATCCTCTATCCACAAAAAGCGAATCCAAATAAATTCGAGTGAACAAGAAAATTCTCTAAAACCTCTCCCTTATTAATCAAATCCCCCTCGCAATCAATAGGCCAAAGTGAAAGATACAAATACAAATTTCTTTTCAAACTGGCAACCCACGCCGCACGCAATTCTAACAAAGAAAAGAAAAGGGGCAGAAATCCGGCGGAAGTGGCGCTTCCACCCTCGACGTAGCGAACGAACCCCCAACTTCCCTCTACCTTTTAGAAAGGGGTGAGAAGGTAGCAGACTGAAGGAGAAAACTTGCCAGGTAGGGTGTTACGTTGCAACGTAGGAAGGGCAATTTATCTTGTTGTATTAGCAAATGGATGATAATGACGGTCGTGGCGGGGGTTGCCAGGGGTGAGAAGAAACTGTCGGAAGCTTCTGCAAGCAGATGTAGTTACCGGGGCTTCTATGTGGCCAACTTAAGTGTACATGCATTAGTGTACGGCCACTTTAAGTGTACAGGGTGTTATGGAAATAATGGTCATAGTTTAACAAGCTTATTTTTCATATCGTTTTGAATACACCTAAATTTAATACTCGAAACTTTGGTGTTTAATTTTACTTCTATTGTTGTGGGAAATTATTTGAGGGATTTATTTTAGTGTACACTATATTGTTACCCTAATGGTATGAACTCTAGTATCACACCCCCAAACTTACAATTACTCGCCCCTAAAATACAATTTATAGCATAAGTTTTAAATACAATTTATATGACTTCTGAAATTTATTCTAACCCTAATAGCATTCATTTTAGTATACCATAATTTATTTCACACCCCACTATTATTTATATCTACAAATCCTAATATTATTTATTTTCACAGCACCCCTATTTACTGATGCTCCCTAATTTTCTGATGGTCCTAATATCATGTATTTACCACCCTAATATTTACTGCAATAGTAAATCTGAGATCCAGAAAAAACATGGACCCTAACACCGGGATTCGCTCCCCAAAGATCGACAAGCAACCCCTATTTCTGCTGTACTATTGATTCCAACAATTTCCAAACCGTATGTATAGTTTAGTTCTACGTAAACTGATCGCAGTCGAACTGGGACAAATCCAAAATAAAATGGAATAATGATTGTAAAATACTGTG